GGAATGCTGTACCTGGAGTGGATGTAAGTAGGTAGGAGAGAAACCAAAGGAGGCTGAGTACTAACCATGTCATTATTTTTCAGATAGTGAATAAGTTCACCCCAGGAAGACGTAACTTCTTTGAACTGAGCTGTAACTTTTCATAAGCATTCTTACTTATTGAAAAGTTTCAAAGAAGTAAGCATAGGGGAAAATAAGTATATTTTCAAAGGGTCCTTAAAAATAGATGCTTGTGTATAAGGTTTTTTTGAATAGTCATCCTAAATATTAATGCCAATTGCTGACTTAATTCAAATGTGGTTTACTTGTGAGGACTATGGGCTTTGGAGTCCCGGGTCTGGGTTTCCTAAGCTGTACCTTTTATGGGAGCAGATTGCCAAGACATTCTTTGGGGTTGCTTGGTAGGTTTGAACTGCCAATCTTCAGGTTTGTTCTTCCCCCATCCAAAAAAGTCAACACAAGGCGCAAAAACCCAATCTAAATCCATGGTCATCAATTCCGTTCTGACTCATAGTGACCTTATAGGACAGAATAGAACTGCCTTATAGAGTTTCCGATGCTTTAACCTTTACAGAAGCAGACTGACTGTTTTAACCTTTCTCCTGTGGTTTCCAACGGCCAGTCTTTCACTTAACAAGCACAAACACTTTAACAGCTTGCACCACCCAAAGACCTTGTCTTATATTTAAAATGGAGATAACAGTCCATTGAGCTAATTACCTTTGTGCAGATTTAAATGATACAGTGGTTACAAACTTATAGCACTTTGCCTTGCACATTGCTGTTGCTGGATTTTGATTCATGGTAAATCCCAGCGGTTTATACAGTAGCACTGCTTCATAGAATTTTCAAGGTTTAGGAGAAGACAACGGACTGACGGTTCTGGGGGCACACGGGAGAGGGGGAGACGGGGGAAAGAAAAGGGGTGCCAACAAACCCAGGGACAAGGGAACAACAAGTGATCTAAAATTGATGGCGAGGAGGGCATGGGATGCCTGGTAAGGCTTGATCAAGGGCAGTGTCGCCAAGAGGAATTACTGAAACCCGAATGAAGGCTGAACATTATAGTGGGACAAGAGGAAAGTAAAAGGAAATAGAGGGAAGGACTAGGAGGCAAAGGACATTTATAGAGGTCTAAATACAAGCATGTACATATGTAAATACATTTATATATAATGATAGGAAGTAGATCAATGTACATATATTTATTTGTTAAGTATTAAGGTAGCAGACAGACTTTGGGCCTCTATTCAGTACTCCTTCAACGCAAGAACAGTTTGTTCTAATAACCTGGCATTCTGTGATGCTCACCTTTCCTGACATGATTGCTGAAGACAAAATGGGTACATTAGTCAATGTGTTGAAGAAAGCTGATGGTGCCCAGCTATCAAAAGATATAGTATCTGGGGTCTTAAAGGTTTGAAGATAAACAAGTGGCCATCTAGCTGAGAAGGAACAAAGCCCACATAGAAAAAGCACACCAGCCTGTGTGATCATGAGATGTTGATGGGATCAGGCATCAAAGACACAAAACAAAAAATCATATTGATGTGAATGAGGGGGAGGGCAGAGTGGAAACCCAAAGCCCATCTGTAGACAGTTGGACATCCCTAACAGAAGGGTCACAAGGAAGGGACGAGCCAGTCAGAGTACAGTGTAGCACCGATGAAACACACAACTTTCCTCTAGTTCTTTAATGTTCCCTTGACCCCACTATCATGACCCCAATTCTACCTAACAAATCTGGCTAGATCACAGCATGTGCACTGGTGCAGATAGAGCTCGCAACTCAGGGAATCCAGGAGAGATAAAACCCCCAGGACTAATAATGAGAGTAGAGATACCAGGAAGGTAAGGCGAAGGTAGGGTGAGACAGAGGGAATTAATTACAATGATCTACATATAACTGCCTCCCAGGGAGACAGATAACAGAAAAGTGGGTGAAGGGAGGCATCAGTCAGTGTAAGACATGAAAAAAAAAAGAGTTCATGAAGGAGGGAGTGTGGGGGAGGGAGGGAAAAAGAGAACTGATACTAAGGGCTCAAGTAGAAAGAAAATATTTTGAAAATGATGTCAACATATGTACAAATGTGCGTATGTATAGATTGTGGTAAGAGCCCCCAGTAAAATGATAAAAAAACAACAACAGAATTTTCAAGGTTGTCATCTCTCAGAGGAAGGTTGCAGGACCATCTTCCAAGGTGCCTGTTGGTTTCAAATGGCCAGCCTTGCAGTTCGTAATCAAACATTTAACTGTGCCAACCAGGGATCTAAAAGCAACCAGGGATCGTAATCAAACATTTAACTGTGCCAACCAGGGATCTAAAAGCAACCAGGGATCGTAATCACACATTTAACTGTGCCAACCAGGGATCAAGCCTTACTCACTGAAAGTGAGTAACTAATATCTCCTTCAGTCTTAGTGTGATTGTATCAATGACTACCATTTTATAAATATCGGAAAATTACTAGGTTCAGCATTTGCCAAAGTGTGCCCACCTAATAAATGATTGATTGTCTTGAGGTCTAAGTCTTTGACACTTGGATAAAGCAGTACATCATTTACATATGTTTTTGCCCTCAATGACATCGTCTTTTTTTTTTTTTTAGCTACATAGTCTTGACTGGGGTTTATATATTTCATTCTGACACTTGCTCTAATACAATTTTTTTACCTGTTGTAAGTACACATTAAAGTCCTTTACCCTTTTTGCTCAGAGGAAATAGTGCACTGATACTAGTGGAGTAGTTGATATTTAGCCGGTTTAGATATAAAGAAAATTACATTGCTTAATCTTGTTTCTTGTGCTGAATAATTGTACTAAGAGCAGTTTTAGCATACACCATCTTAATGGTGAGTGTAGTATCATACTTTAGTAGGGAATGACTTTCAGTTTGCTTAGATTCTTTACTTTGAAAAGAGGTGGTGATTTTTAAAAAGCGGTGTCATTTTCTAGGAGCCCTGGTGGCACAGGGGTTGCGCATTTGGCTCCTAACCAGCAGCCCCACGGGAGAAGGACCAGTCTGCTCCTGCATAGATGTTAGTCGACACAGTCGTCAGGGGCCGTGCTCCCAGGCTTATAGGGTCGCGATGAGTTGGGAACCACATGACAGCACCTAACTGATAGCAACAGTAGCAGCAGCTTGGTACCTGTGGTTATTATCAGTACATCAACAGAAACTAGAAAGTGACATGTGTTTGATTAACTAGATGTCTTCCAACTCAGTGATAGTTATAACAGGTGACAGGTTGTTTGATATAGGGTAACTGTTTTAGGCTGGGTTGACTAGAGAAACAAATCCAGGGACACTCATATATGTGTAAGAAAAAGCTTTATATCAAGAAGTCATTATATATCAAGGAAACATCCCAGCGTAGTTCAACTTGGGTCCATACGTCCCTCATCAGAGTCATCCAGTCATAAGCAGTGATGCAGCATGCAGGGATAGCAGCACCCGGCTGGTGGGTGCAAAGTCCAGTGGTGGTGGATGCATCTCCAGGGATCTGGGAGGTTTCAAGAGTGGCTCACCAGCAGGAAGGTGAAGGCAGAGAGGGAGAGGTTCCTAGGACTCTCCTTATGAGACGGCCCTGCCCACAAGGGGGCACCATCAGGCTGTGACCCGATTGACAGGCTCTAGACCACCAGTACCTTTAATTTTCTTCAAGTTACATGACATTATGTAACTACCTCAGTAACATTTGTCTTCACATGCCCCTTTTGTTACATTATGCTTTCCTCAGGGAACCCCTTTTGTCATTTCTGTGTTGGTAATGTAATTTGGAGAATTTTGTATTTTGGTGATGGTGTTGGGGGGTTACTTTATTTTAAAGGTAGTTTATTACTGAAACAAAATCTTACTTTTACTACCATTTTTTTGGTTTCTGTTTTTCCCCCTCATTTAGAAACAAAAAAAACATCAAGAATCTCTCCCGTTTAGTTGTCCGCCCCCATACAGATGCTGTTTACCATGCCTGCTTTTCGGAGGATGGTCAGAGAATTGCATCCTGTGGAGCTGATAAAACCTTACAGGTAAAACATACCTCTTGAGAAAAATAAGATTACTTACTACTTTGTTGATTAGCACATGTTTCAGTCTAAAACTCAAGAAAATCATATCTATTAGAGATAGTAAAGAAATTCAGATCTCTTGAGCATTTTATGAAAGCTTCCTCTAGATATTTTCAAGATTATTGCATATTGTCATAAATCTATAGTTACCAGGTAATAAAAGAATACCTTTTATCCATCTATTCAGTTTTCTGTCCTTATGTGAGAGCAAAGGATATTGAGGCATACAGATTGTCAAAAGGTATGAGGACTTCATAGCATATTGAGCAGTGCTTTGATGAGGAAAACTAACAAACATATACTTGTAAGAAATAGGCAGAAATTACTGATTAGGAATTTGGCTACATTATTTCTTAAGACTCTTTAAGGGATTTTCTTTAAATTCCCAATGTTTTAAGAAAACATGAAAGAATATGTTTCTCTACATGTGTGCTCTGCCTTTGATCGTGAAGGAAACAGGATTGAATTAGTTAGAATTATAATATGTAGGATAGTTTAGACCTTGCAGGATTATGACTGCATATCTATTTCTACATGAGGGGGCTTTAAAATGTTTGTAGGAAATAGAATTGAAACATGATTGTGCTTTTCTATGAGCTTTTTCAAGCCCCTTTGTGTGCACCTTAATGTTTTATTAGTTTTGGATTCTGAGCCCCAGAAAGCAAGCATGTTCATTGAATTGTTTTCTATTTGATTTTTAAGCCTGCCAAAATATTAAGAACTGAAGCTATACTCCACCACTTTATTGATATTTACAAACATTTAACAATTGATAGTTACCTATGCTCAGGCTTATATATTTATAGCAGAAATTCTGAGTTTCGGAGTATCTTTTGCCAAGGTTCATTTATTTACAAAATAGCAGTGATTAAGTTGTTTTAAGGGAAGACTTGTATTGAATTGTAGCCAATGATTAAATGGTTTATAGCTTCTGTTGTTGCTGTGCAGGTCTTAAAAGCTGAAACTGGAGAGAAGCTTCTAGAAATCAAGGCTCATGAAGATGAAGTCCTTTGCTGTGGGTTCTCTACAGATGATAGGTTTATAGCAACCTGTTCAGTGGACAAAAAAGTGAAGGTAAGAAAATATGTTTTTTCTTGGGTTATAGTCCCACAATTCATTTCCCCTTATATAGGGACTAGGTTATGAAAAGTTAAAGATAACTTCATGCCGACAACTTCAAGAAAATCAGCTTTTCTCTTGTGTTAAGTAAACATAGTTGAAAAGATTTTTTTAAAAACCTTAGGTTTTTCACAAGGAAGCAATTTAGCAGGGAAGAACAATTAAAATTTATGAATTTGCTTTGCCATTTGTAAATGGGTCTATATGTTAAATATCAGTGTATATCTTTTAAGTACATTGTGATCAGAAGTGTGCTTACATAAAATTATTGTCTGAGATCATATTATATTGTAAAATACATGGATTGTGAGAGACAACCAGGCTTTATTCAGCGTCATGAACTGGACCACAGGGAGTGCAAAGCTGGGTTACTGAGCAGACCAGTAAACTCTTGCCCAAACAATAAAGAGGGGGAAATAACAAGGATTCAGATCTTGTTAATTTTGATCTCTTCTCTCAATTTGCCTTTTATCCAGAACACAGATGGCATTTAAGAAAAACTGATGGTGGAGGGATCTCTTTTATTCCTTTACCGAGAAGCAGCTTCTTTGTAGGCTTTTCAAGGGAGGAGTTGTGAAATATATTGAACCTAATTAATAGGTGTGGGCCTTGGCAGAACTGAGGACAAGGAGTGGTCTTGGGTATTTTCACCTATTGGGAGAGGGCTACGGAGTGTCCAGACTAAGTTGAGGCGTTTAAGAACCTACTTCTCAATAAACTGGATACTCTAGCGAGCGTTAGAACCCACGATTTGATTCACCTCGGAGTTGGCCATTCTGAGGAACTCCAGAGTCAGAGCTGGACTTTGCATCTGTGGATAACTGCTTGGGCCTTTCTTCGTCTAGACGATGACAAAGTGGCAAAATCTCCTGTAGTTAACAACTGCCGTCTCATTCATGCCAGGGCTGATTCTCTACCTGTCTCATTACTGAACATTTGTATTAGAGGGAAAATATAATGAAACATGGGATGTTTATGTCAGACCAGCTTCATTTAGCGTTGGGAGCTATGTGGAGTAACAGGAATTAATACCGGATTTCTGTTTCTAAGAACTCAAAATATTAAGTGAGAGGCAGAAAGACCTATTTAAGAACTTCAAGATAAGAAATTCTTTGGAAATCTGGGTATCCTAATAAGTGCTTTGTAAGATACAAAGAAAATGCTTTGGGAGGGGGCATTAATACCTTTAAAAAGTCGAATTCTAGTGAAGATTTATTAAATAACTACTCTTTGGTTTGTTGCTCTATGGAAGAGACCACTTTACTGTATGTTTACACAAATAGCATGTGTATTACGTTTTTTTACAAGTCACGCAACCACCTCATGAGTTGGTTTCTTAAGCATACTATTTATTAAGGTATGTTATATGTGAGGCGAGCCTTGGTATCTTAGTGGTTACATGTTGGGCTGTGATCTGCAAGGTCAGCAGTTTGAAACCACCAACTGCTCTATGGGAGAAACATGCTTGCCTTTCTATTTCTGTAAAAACTTGTAGTCTCAGAAACCCACAGGAGCAGTTCTATAGGATCACTGTGGGTCGGGATCGACTTGATGGCAGTGAACGTGATTTTTGGTTTGGTCATGTATGACAGATGTCAGTTTGCTTTATATGGTGACTGGAGTGATGATAATTTTTCTTGAGAACTGGACATTATACAAGGTCTTAAATGTAACCATTCACCTTAATTGTTAAAGACAATTAAGTCATACCCTTTATAATATTTCTTTGCTGCTGTTGTGCAGAAGAACATGAAATCTTGTCCTTGGAAGTTTTCATGAGATTCTAATTATGCTGTAGAAAAACACACGGGTAGACTTGCAAGTGAATTTTTCATTGTGCATCCACACAAAACACTGATGTATTTTTTTTTTTGGAGTGAACGCATACTCATTCGCTGCGTGTTTAGTCGTAAAAATTAGTGCCATGACTAATGTCTAGATCGTACCCTTAAAGTGATGGTGTTTGCTTTGTCCCCTCTCCTCCTTTTGAAAGTAAGAGGTAGTTGTGAACTCTGTTTTCTCTCTCCTCTCTAGATTTGGAATTCTGTGACTGGGGAACTAGTGCATACCTATGATGAGCACTCAGAGCAAGTCACTTGTTGCCATTTTACCAACAACAGTCATCACCTTCTCTTGGCCACTGGGTCAAGTGATTACTTCCTCAAAGTAAGTGTGAATGATGGCAATTATGTAGACAGATCTAATAGATATATCAGACCATCAGTTCAAAGTCCTAGGCTATTCTGGTTGTAAGTGATAGAAACTGCAAAAATCATTTAGCTTATGCAAAACAAAAAAGAAAAAATATACTTGCTCATATGACCGAAAAGTCTAGTGGGACCATGGCTTCAGGCTAAGTTGAATTCAGGTGCTTTTCAAGTATTTTCTGAGTATCTAACTTTCTCCAGCTTCCGGCCCTTTCTGTTGGCTTAGGCTTAATGTCTCTATGTGGCAAGACACATGGCTCCTTCAGCTCCAGGCTCACATAGGTTTTGTATCTCCTAATCATAGAGGGAAAGAAGTGGCCACTCTCCCTTATCCCATAGGTTTAATTTTAGGTAAGACTTATTGAATTGGTTCCTGAAGTTGCTAAATAACTTAACTTCAGTGGCCAGGAGGATGGAATCCTTAGATTGCCTAGTCTCACGTCTAGCCCTGTGGAAGTGAGGTCCACTGGAATCACAAGTGAGTTCAATTCAAAAGAGAAGTTCGGTTACCAAAAGACTGTGGGAAACGATGCAAGCAGGAAAATAATTTTTGAAAAGTAGATATTCGTTCACTATAGTTTAATAGTTTTGTAATTATACATTATGAAAAAAGTATAGCACTTTTCCCCTTATCTGTCATACCTAGAAAACAGAAATAAAGTGTTCCTGGGATCCCAGAAAGATCTGCTGGCTTCTTTTGTATTATCTTACCTCTTATGTTTCTTGTCAAGTTTACCTATATTGTAGATTATCTTTATATATTTTGAGTCATAGTTTTATAGTGTTAGAAGATTTTACCTCAGTTTGTTTAGATTTAAGATTGCATTTGGAAATCTTAAAATGAATACTTTTAAAGTTGGATAAAATTGCTTTTTTAAAAATTGGGAAATTTTCATTATGTATTAAATCTGTTCTCACTTACTTAAATTTCTGGTTAACTTACATTTTACATTATGGCAATAGTAAAAAAAAAAAATTCTGCTTAAATCATCATAAAGCCAGGTAAGGACCCATGTGTTTTGAGGGAGTGCCTCCCACCTGAGCCCCAAGTTTGATCCCTCCCATTCCACCCCTTCCTCCAGTTTTGGATGTAAATAAAAGGAGGGGGAAAAAAGAGGTGAGAAGCCACGCCCTCATCACCTGTCCATGTACACATTCTACTTTGTTGCCTAATCCATGCTAGGCCTTCAGGCTGTGTCTGCCCTGCTTGCAACTTTGCATGATGAATGTCAGAAGGTGACAGTGGAATGCAGGCAGGATGCATGGTGGTTACTTTACCGCGTACCCAAGATCCATTGTTTGTGTGTTTGATGGTGCTTTCGGGTGCCGGGACCAGCAAGTGGTGGTCATGGATAAGTAGGCATTTTCTTGGAAAGTAAAAACTCCACGTGGGTCAGGGTTGGATGGGTCCTCTCCTGGCAGCAAATTCTGACCCCGCTCAGCTCTACCTGTGGTCTGAAGTGGTGCCAGCTGACTCGCCCAGAAGGTTGTTACAGAGGAGCAAGCAGCCCCATTGCACTGACTCTGAAATGATGCACTCCTGTAGCCCGAAGAGCATTTGGTCGCTGAAGTTTTGCGTAACACTAATTTTGGCATAACAATGTGGTCTTTGGAACCTAATTATGTTGATAAGTGAGGAATTGGGTAGATTTATTTTGTGTTGAGTAAAATAATAATGTTTCCAAACAATCAGCTAAGTTAAGCAGTAATTGTTCACTTGGCTAGATAGTGCTCAGGCTATACAAGCCTCCGCCCTCTTAGAATCCCGTAGTAGATAAGGGATACCCCATTACTTGCTAGTCAAAAGTTCGTGGCACTTTTGTGTAACTGAATTGAACATGTTCTAACTTGGAAGCTATAATGAGAAAGAAGGAAAAACTCTACATGATTTTTAACTTTCTCCCAGTAAGTGTTAGTTTTTATTTAAAGTTTACCTTTTCATCTTTCTCTAACAGCTCTGGGATTTGAATCAAAAAGAATGTCGAAATACTCTGTTTGGCCATACAAATTCAGTCACTCACTGTAGATTTTCACCAGATGATAAGCTTTTGGCCAGTTGTTCAGCTGATGGAACACTAAAGGTATGTTTTTGGATGTCGTGAAGATGGATTGTAATTGTATGAGGAAGCTTATGATTTGGTTATTGAAATAGATTGCTTTCATATTTCTATAGTTTCTCCCTCAACTTCCAGGAACATATTTAGTATAATGGTAATTGCTTAATACGATTGCTTATGAATGATTTACAACTTTAAGTTTAAAATTAATTTAAATTCTTTAAGCATAAATTTCATGTGATAGCTTCTTAAAATACTTGGAAATCTATAGGAATCCAATTTATAAAGGTCCTGATTTTAATTATCATTTATTTTTTATGCCTTTTATATGGTTTTCTTGTTTTTGATCCTTATTGGGACAAACGTAAAGGCCAGGGGAAAAGCTTACTCAACTTCCTAAATTGTATAGCCCTTTGAGAAGTCTTACATCTTCAGTGAGATCTGAATTTCAAATATGATCTCAGTCTTGATTTCTTATTATTCATGTCTCTACTCTCCGTCTAGTGCCCTCTTTATCCATTCTCCTCTTTCCTTTTAGTCATAAATTGAACCTATCTTTGTTTGACTCTGTCTCCTAATCTGCCATTTTCTCTCCCATTCTACAATATTTGCTCTGGCTCAGGCTATCGTACTTCATGCCTGTTAGCAGCCATCTAGATGTACTTTCCACCTCTACTTACTGCAGTGTGTTAGGCCAGTTGACTAGAGAAACAAATTCAGAGACACTCTTGTGTAAGAGAGAACTTTATATCAAGAAATAATTTGCATCAATAAAACATCCCAGCCCAGTCCAGATCAAGTTCATAAGTTCAATATTAACCTATAAGTCCAATATTAGCTCATGAATTCCACTTCAGACTCACACAGTACATGCATTGATGCCAAATGCAGGAAGATTGCTGGCCAATGGGTGGAAAGTCTTGTGGATCCAGTGGCAGCGGACACATCTCCAGGGCTCTGGCTGCCATTAGTGTGGCTCCATGTGGCTTGTCAACAGGAATGTGAATCCTGAGAGGCCTCAGAGAGAGGTCTGCGTCTTCTGATGGCCGAATGAAGAGAGAGGAAGTTCCCAGAATCGTCGTGAGAAGGTCATGCCCACAAGGAGGAATCATCAGACTGTGACCTGATTGACAGACTGGACTCCACCCCTTCATTCTTTTCTCAAAGTTGACATGAAATTGTGTAACTACCACACGCAATGTGGAACTGCTAGCATAATCCATTATCACCCTTTTTATCTTGTTGCTTTTGGCTGGAACACAAATAGTACCTTTAATAATTGTGGTGAGCCCAGACTCATGAGGCTGATTTCTAAGATGTTTAGCCTTTCATCATTCTGCTGTGCTTTTTCCTATTCAATTTATTTCTTCTAGGCCCATGTTAATGGCTAATTACCTTGCCCAAATGATGAGAGTGCCCAGTTAGTATACGTTGATTATTATAGTCACTGTCCATGAATATGTTTCTATTAGTTTTTTTTGGGTGGTGGGGGTGGGGGTGGTTTCTGATTCACTTGTTTACTTTTTTTTTAAATCATTTTATTGGGGGCTCATACAACTCTTATCACAATCCATACATACATCCATTGTATCAAGCACTTTTGTACATTTGTTGCCATCATCATTCTCAAAACATTTGCTTTTTGCTTGAGCTCTTTGTATCAGCTCCTCATTTTTGCCCCTCTCTCCCAGCTCCCCTCTCTCATGAACCCTTGAAAATTTATAAATTATTATTTTGTCATATCTTACACTGTGCAACGTCTCCCTTCACCCACTTTTCTGTCCATCCCCCAGGGATAAGGTTATATGTATATCCTTGTAATTCGTTCCCCCTTTCTACCCCACCCTCTCTCCACCCTCCCAGTATCGCCACTCTCACCACTGGTCCTGAAGGGATTATCTGCTCTGGATTCCCTGTGTTTCCAGTTCCTATCTGTACCAGTGTACATCCTCTGGTCTAGCCAGATTTATAAGGTAGAATTGGGATCATGATAGTGGGGGGCGGGGTGGAAGAAGCATTTAAGAACTAGAGGAAAGTTGTATGTTTCATCGTTGCTACCCTGCAACCTGACTGGCTCATCTCTTCCCCACGTGTGTCTGTTTATTATAATGTATCTTGTTACCTCTCTTTATTGTGCTTAGCACTGTGGCTCTTTTTTTTTTTTTTTTGGAAACTTAGATACTTTGAGTTGGCTTACTTGAATTATTTGTGTGATTTTTGCCTGCTGTTTTTTCTTTCTGGAATACCTGTTTATGGTTTAAAAATTTTGTTTTTTCTCTTCATCTCTCTCTCTGCTCACTTGCTTTGCTTTCTGAAAGATTTCAGTAGCCTTATTTTCCAATCTTGCTATTAAAATTTTAATTTCTGCTTTTATCTTTGTAAGGGCCCAATTTAAATAGCCATTCGTCTCTTTTAAGACATTATTTTAAGTTTTCACATACCTGTGTAGTTGTTTGTTCGTTGGTTTTTGTTTCTGCCCGCATGTTAGAGCTATTTCTTAGCTGGCTGATTCTTGGGTGAGATTTTCATCTTTAAGATTACAGCGCTAAAAGCTGATTGGGACTTGTGTATTATGAGTTTCCTTATAAGGTTGTCTGACTGATATTTTAAGGGTTAACTCCAGGTGTCAGACTCTTGGTGGTTTGTCTTGATGTGGCTCTTGTGGTGTTCAGGGAAGAATCTTGAGTCACCTACCCACAGGGTCTATATGGGAGTTCTGGGGTGATGTGTAGGGATCTCACACTTAGAACATTTCCCTGAACTCCCTATTTTTGCAGTGATGACCCTATCCCAACCGTCAACCGTGTTGGGTGTAAAATGACCCTCTATTCCTGTCCCTCTTAAGTTGGTGTAAGGCAGACTAATCTTTAGTGGGTGGAGGGAGGTGGCTACCTCCTGCACATTGTGTCCCCTCAGGCCTGCAGCTTGAGTGCAGCATTCCCACTCTGGGGTATCAGTTCCCCTCTTTGGACAGGTCCTGTGTGTTAGAGCCACTTATGTGCATGTCTTGCTCCCATTACTAATTCCTTATACATCCCTCCAGGGCGGTATGCATATCTGATTCATTTGTCGAACCTCACTAGCATAGTATTTAATAAATGTGTCCAAGATGATAAACCCTTGGTGTTTTTCCTTCAATCAAACTTCTCAAATCAAGCTCAAAGAAAAAACTTAACAGTTGGTCAGGGGCAGGGTTTTGATTTTTGTGTCCACGTGTGAGTATCACTGTGATTGTAGAACAGCGGGCGCACTAGCAGCAGGGGACAGGCATTACTGCACTCTTGGTGAGAACTGCTTGCGTTTGTGGCAGCTTTCTCACGGTGTTGTCAAGCCTGAGTTCTTGGCTGGTCTCCACTGATATGGTGATAAGTTGTAAACAGAGGTCCTGCAAAAGGGTGTCTGATAACAGCATTTCAAGGTCAAAGTCTTCTAAAGCATCTACTTTCCCAGATGGTAAAGAACTGTAAAATAATTTCCCACCCCTAAATGTTCTTTTCTAAACATTTTGTGTGATATCATGTTTATAAGAGGTGTTTTTCAGGCTTTGATATTTTGAAACTAGTTCAAAGTGCAAATTCTATTTAAAATTTTCCATTTAAGGCAGAATTGGGCACAGGACACACATGAGCCCTGGATACCGTACAGTTGGATCAAAATGAACCAGTAGTAGCCATTTACTTGGTCCTTTGCTGTGTGAGATTTCGTCCCTCCTAGATTTGAAAGAGAAAAACCATTGACATGAAGGATTGACACAGTGGCTACATCAGTATCTTCACAAATTAGGACAATTGTGAGGCTGGCACAGGAGTGGTCAGTGTTTTGTTCTGTAGCACATGGGGTCGCCATGAGTCGGGCTAGACTCAGTGGCACCTAAGAACAACCTGACAGGTGAGGACCCGACTCAGGCTTTACTCAGTCTGGAAAAGGATGGATGCAGCTGAGGCAGATAGAGTGAAATTGGGGAGTGGTGGTGGTGGTGTGTGTGTGTCTGTGTGTGTGTGTGCTTTTGTATTTTCTCTCTCTATATTGTTTTTAGGGGAGTCAGCATGTGGTTTCTCATCCATGCTGGCTGATTTGAGTGAAGCTCTTGGCATATGTGGTTATGGTGTTTTTCCTTTCTTAGCATCAGGGGAAGCTTAGCTTTTTATGCCTGTTGTCTGTCTAACTGCATCTACTGTATCCACAGGGGAAAGGTTTAGGTGTAGGATATATAATATATATTTTTTAGATTAAAAAATGTACCTGGCAAAATGAATCCACTTTGACCTTGGATCAGTACGTGGGCAGCCACATTAAAGCCTGAGAAGCAGCTTTTTAATTGGTCCTTATCCTTGACCATCCCTTGGCCTGTGCTGCCATAATTACCAAGCTTTGAAGTTGAGAATATGCCTCAGGGCCCAGAGGAGCAAAGGTAGATCTTTCCAAAGGCCTAGGTCTTTTGTGCTGTGTAAGTGGCTCTACTAGTGAGTGAGGTCTGGAGTGATTTGTGTCCTATAGAACTCATTTGACTTTAGAGCTCTTCTAGCCTCAACAAGCCTCTCTCCGGTCTCTTGCCTCCTTCAACAAGATCTCTGCTTTCTGTTTCCAGGGATGTCTGTATCTCTGGATGGTCTGTTAGGGAACAATTCTGCGTGGACTGTGCCCTGTGTAGTGTCCATGCAAACTTCATGACTGACACAGCAGAGGGCAGCAGTGGCAAGTTGTGAGGGGCTCCATCATCTCATTTCCTTTATCCCCGTAGCTTGTCCTTACTGTTGCCCGCAAGCTCTACCCTCCTCTACACCTACCCTCCTCTACACCCTGCTAGGCTCTTTCACATTTTATTTGATTTTGTATTCTGTATTTTGAACACTGCGTCTGCATTTTTTTTCTTTTCTGGAATGTGATGAATGAAGCTGGAGTTCTTAATTAGTCATAACAATTCATACGTAGGTGAAAAGAACTCATTAGGTGATGTGAATAATTTTATGTGACCTTTAACTTCGGTTGAATTCTAGAATTCTGTGCTTTGAGATGAAAAAGACTTTGTGATTGTTGGTTTCCATTTGCAGCTCTGGGATGTGAGATCAGCCAATGAAAAGAAAAGCATTAATGTGAAGCTCTTCCTGCTGAATTCCGAGGAGCCTCAAGAGGATGTGGAAGTGATAGTGAAATGTTGTTCTTGGTCCGCTGACGGTGCCAGGATAATGGTGGCTGCAAAATACAAACTCTTTGTAAGTGCTGGTTTTTAAAAAGACAAATGTAGCATCAATGAATGAAAATGAAAACCTCTGCTGATTGGAGCAATTTATACTGATTATTGATATGTAGAGTCTGGAGTTTGGGCAGGCTCCCAAACACCTCAAAATGTTTTGGAAATGGGCCCCAGGGGATATTGAGTTTGGTGAAAAGGTTTTTCTTGCTCACTCGACTTGTTTAAATGAACTAACATCTTTAAGGCCCCGGGAAGTTCCATATGACAGAAGTACTTTGCAGTGTTTGAATCCAGTGTTTTTCAAATATGTTCCAGTGTGTAATACTTTTTTCACCACTCCTGTTTGTTTGTTTTCATAAAATTTGGAACACATGGGCTTACATGATTTTTTTTTTAATGCTGACATGGCATATATTTTATTCTGCATGTATTTTACACAATAATAGAAAGGGTACTTCTCATTATTATTAGTATTAGAGTTTAGTAGCTAAATTAAAAAAAAATCATTTTATTAGGGGCTCATACAACTCTTATCACAATCCATACACACATCAATTGTGTACAGCGCATTTGTACATTCATTGCCCGGGCTTACATGATTTTCAAAGTGCTTTCTGTACTTAAATGTTTGTGAATTGGTAACTCTGATAGAGTGAATGACTAAGCAAGATTGTGAGATTTTCATGGATCAATTTGGCAAAAAAGGAAATGACCAGGAAATGCCTTGTTGTTGTTTTCTATGTAATAATATTGTTGGACGGCAAGGGATCAAAGGAGACCTTTCACTGTTATCCCAAACCAGAGACCAGTTGATTTGAGAAATTCTGAGCTTATTCCTGCAAACACTTGCAGAAGGAAAGCAGCCAGGTTTCTTCTCTGAGTTTTTTCAGTGTTCAGTCCTGACGTCGCGAGTTAATATACAAGGAACAGTTTTGTTTCTTAAAAACAGTGATTTCAGGAAGGATTAGCAGGGTTTTACTCTGTCATAGCATATAATTGATCGTCTTTAGATGGCAGAGTTTGCAGTGATCATTAGGAACTTAGCTAGACTGCTAAAAGGACAAACCAATCTGTCCCTGGAGAAGGACATCATGTTTGGTAAAATAGCGGGGCAGTGAAAAGGAGGAAGGCTTTCAAGGTATTTGATTGACACTGGACAGCTGTGAGGATGGTGCAGGACCGCGCGGTGTTAATTCTGTTGTGCAGAGGGTCCCTTGGGTTGGAACTGACTTGGTGGCACCTACAACCACAAGAGCATTTCTCCAAGAGCCGGTGAACCCCGTCCCATGGAGCTTGACGCACACTCACTTATCTAAACGGGGGGATGCTTGGTGCCTGGCTACTTACCTTATGGACCTTGTTAGCCTCCTCGAGTTGGAAAATCCCTGCTGGATAAGCTTTAAAGTGATTTTAAAGGGAGGCAGCTGCTACATTTTTTTGTGGGGGGGCGGGCCGCGGCTAAGGGCTGTTTCATTTTGGATTTTTAACAGACCAAATCATATTTCTAGTATTGATTATCAGTAGACTTACTCCTCCACTTCCCTGTATCAATAGTGGCTCCATTTGTGTGGAGTTCAGAGTGCAGTCATGTATATTTTCTTTTGATATCAGTATCTCAGGGACACAGTAGTGTGCAAGAGCCCAATATCGGATATTAATGAGGAAACTGAGCTCCAGGGCAGTCAAATAACTTCTCCAAATGGCTCAGTGATATTCTGTGTTAATAGCAATTTTAAAAGACTTGAATAAGGGACGTTACTATTTTAAAGAACATGAAAACTTACTGATACCCTATATGCTTGCTGTTCATCAACTTCTAGTAGCTCCGACCCTTGAGTCTTGGTGCTTATAGGTTTATACCTCTTTAGCAGGAAACTACAAGAAAAGAATGTCTTTTCGTCTTAATGTTGTTAAAGCCTGTAAGAAGAAAAAAGGACCACTGCATTTGCTTATCCGAAGATTTTTAATGAACTGTTCTACTGAGAGAGAAAAATAATTTTGCATTCCCTGAAATGTCTTCCAATTTTAAGAGTCTGTAGAGCAGCTCCTTATTTTCCCATGCTTAAACACCTTCCCTGAGATCGCTCATGCTGATGCGAACTCATTACACTTGGATCTCTCCATCCTCCTCCTCTTCTTTCCTACCCTTTGGTGCTGTTAGCCGAGCCTCCTTGTTAGTTAGGTCTTTTCTTATTGCTCCCTAAAGAATTGGGACACCTCCCCATTCAGCATTTGCCAAGTTTTCTCTCTCACTCTTAGTCTAATTTTTAAGAATGACCTGTCCTGGGAAGCATTTCCACTCTGATTTCCTGTCCATTGTAGTTCCCCCAACAATACCCCCTGTGCTGCTTACCATCTGTGCAGGCTACTGGCCCTGTGTTCATGGAACAGCTTTACAGATCACCCTGGAAGCTTAGTTTTCCTTCCTGAGAAATACATTCCTGAGGAATACACCTTTGACTTTAAGTCAATATACTGTAGAATGGTAAAAATATTCTTAGACATTTGGGGAAAATTGCAGAAGAGTGTATTCAGCATTTTTTAATTGCTTGGAAATTGAAATAAGAGGCTTGCATTCAAAAATATCTTTTTAAAAAAATTCAAAGATGGGAAAAATTATTGTAATAGAGTACTTTGGTAACTCTGAAGAGAAATAGAAATGATTGAGCTAATTTCATTTTAGCAAGCCTATGCTGTGTATTATTTTTATCATCTTAATTTATGAGTATACATTTTCTTTTTTGAATAAATAAGCATGAGGGAGAATTTGCTCTGTATATTAATTTGGCTAGTATATTAATTTATTCACAGAAGTTTTATTTCTCTCTTGACCATCTTGAGGGAGTCATTTATGGTGAATTTTGTTTTATAAAAAATGTGGTTCAACCATCACAAGGTTGGCTATATAGCCCACCCCCAGGGGGACAAATAACAGAAATGTGGGTGAAGGGAAACAATGGACTGTGTAAGGCACAATAATATATAATTGATGGAGGATTCACTAGAGTGGGAAGGTGGGGAAGGGAGGGGGTAAAAAGAGGAGCTGATACTAAGGGCTCAAGTTGAAAGAAAATGTTTTGGAAGTGCTGATGGCAACATATGTACAAGTGTGCTTAATACAACTGAATGATGGATTGTCATAAGATTTGTAAGTGCCCCCCAGTAAAATGATTTAAAAAAATGTGGTTCAAGATTAGTTTTGCTTTACAAGTATATGGACATAGATCATGTCTTATTTATGACTACCAGTTATTATACTGGTTACCAGTACTTGTTCAAATCTTATATTTTCATTTGAAGTGGAAAGAGATTATTTTAAAAATAAACTTAGAATTCCTTTGGGTATTGTTTATGCTTTAGAATATCTCCATATTTTATGTTGGCAGCTTTTTGACATTGATACCAATGGCCTGTTGGCAGAAATCCACACAGGATATCATAGTACCATCCAGTATTGTGACTTCTCTTCTCACAATCAGTTGGCAGTGCTTGCTTTATCCCAGTACTGTGTGGAGGTGAGTAATAAAATTTACTCTGTGATAGCTGTGTTTTCCAAGGAAAAGGATGATAAAGAATGGACCGCTTATGTTATTAACTGCTGAGGATGCTCCTTTGAGAAATGATTGAATATTTTCTTCACAGCGTAAAGAATTTTATTAAACTCTGTATCCAACTTCATTACTTGAAAAGTGATTGGAGGACTTGGCAGTAGGACAGGGAATGACTATAGGACAGAGTAGAACTCCCTGTGGTTTCCTACAGCAGAGTGCCCCATCTTTCTCCTGTGGAGTGGCTGGTGGGTTCAAACTACTGACCTCGTGGTTAGCAGCACACTATGCCACAAAAAGCCAAAGCCACACTCACTGCCACCGAGTTGATTCCGACTCACAGTAACCTTATAGGACAGGGCAGAACTGCCCCTATGCGTTTGCGAGACTGTGAATCTTTATGGGAGTAGAAAACGGAGCAGCTGGTGATAGATTTGAACTGCTGACCTTGAGGTTAGCAGTCCAACTCATAACCCAGTGCACCATCAGGGGTCCTTTATATTGAGTTATATAGCCAACTTTATGAGTTTCACAGTGATTGGAAAACTTGATAGTGTAACAGGGAATGAGAGTACCATTCACCAAACATTTACAGAATGCCTTGCATGTGCTGAGGTCTAGGAACAACAGAATGACTGCTGGTTTCCTAGGCAGAAACATGACATCGGTGAAATAGTGAAGGCATAGAGTCTTCTGGCAAAGAAATGATGAGAGATTAATTCAGTTCAGATTTCTTAGATCATTGAGAAGGATAAAGTGGAAATGATATTTAGATAGGGTTTTCATTGGCAAACACTTTTGATCAAAATGGCGTAGAAATTACTTGTTTGTACTTACCAGATTGTACATTCACAGACTGTGTCTAACTTGTCTTGGAAGAATTTTACCCAGTGAATCCCTGCTAATTTGTTTAAAAAACAATGAATTTCCTGTTTTTTCTTCTTTAACGATGGATAGTTTTCCCAAGATTTTTTACGCCTCCTTCCCTGAGTGAGCCTTACCGTCAGATAATTTGAAGCCCCTTGAGATGTGATAGCACTCAGAAGATGGGTCTTTATCTGGAAAATGGGAGATTTACTTGCTTCACAAGTCCCATACCCCCCGAGGGAACCTTGACCACTGCAAGTCTTTCTTCAGTGTTCTATGCTTACTTGAGGCATTTTTCGTGGTATTTCCAACCTTCTCCCTTACTACAAAGGTGAGGTGGGGGAGTTGCTGAGCTGCAGCTCTTCAGCATAGAGGGACAGATAAAACGAGAATGAGGCATGAGCTCTGTTGCCCCTCTGATTCTAAGTACAACAGATGCTGTAATACTGAAGGACTTCCCTTGGAAGCTGAGCTAGTAAGGGTAAAAAGGCTCCACTGCCGTTGAAAACAGTTGGCACAATGCCTTGGAAGATTCAGATCTGCTTGGAGATCTTGAAACGTTACCTGTAAATCCTCCAGGTAGATGCTGTGGGGGTTGTCCTCTCCAAGGAGGAATAATTCCCTCTTTACACTGATGTCAACCTTTTCTTTCAGTTCTGCAATTATCAGCCTCTTCAGAATGAAATGTCACCAAATCCAGTTGCTGTTGAGTCAATTCCAACTCATGGCAGCCTCAGACTATCAAGTGGAATTGTGCTCTGTGCAGTTTTCAGTGACTGATGTTTCTGAAGTACATGACCTCTCTCCCAAGTGCCTCAGAGTAGATTTGAATTACCAACCTTTCTTTTCTTTTTTTATTCTCTATTTTCTTTATTAAATACTTTTATTGGGGGCTTTTACATCTCTTATCACAATCCATACATTCATCCAGTGTGTCAAGCACATTTGCACATATGCCGCCATCATTTTCAAAGCATTCTCTTCTCACTTGAGCCCCTGATATCAGCTCCCTATTTCTTCCCCCTCCTTCCCCTGCCCTCCCTCACGAACCCTTGATGAGTTATAGATTATTATTTTCATATCTTATATCGTCCTCTGTCACTCCTCACCCACTTTTCTGTTCATCCCCCTGAGAGGAGGCTCTAAGTTGATCCTTGTGATTGAT